CCAGAAAAAATACCTGCCTCCATGGCATTCTGATGCTTGACCCCAGGTTGACCCCTGACCTCTTCTGACCATGACCCCAGAGGCCTGACTCACCCACGGAGCCTCAGGTTGTATACCTGTGCCCTCCCCTCCCTTCCTGTCTCCTTCCCTCACTCCCTCGGCCCCACCCCCCAGTTCATAGTTCACCCACACGCACCAGGTCCTGGGGGCTCTTGGAGCCAAAAAAGAACTCTTCCTCCGGAGTGAGCAGGTGGACCGCGCACCTAGAAGGACGGAGTGGCGAATAGGCCCGCTCTGTCCCGGGGCTGGGGGGCCCCCGTCAGAGCCTTGGGGTACAGGCAGGTCATAGGGTAGAAGGAGGGGAGGCGTGGGGTGTCGTTGGAGGAGGCTGCTCACCCGTCCTGCTCAGGATCCACCCACACCAGCTTCAGGTCAAAGGTGTGGACACTGTGACCCTGGAAGACAGGACACGGCGTCATCCAGAGCCCAGACCAGGCGCTCACCTCCTCCTCCGGGGCCCGCGCACCAGCCCGCGCACCAGCCTGCAGGGCGGGCACTACCTGTCCCCGCCTCCAGGGGGGCCCCTTCCCAGCCCAGGCCCGGCCCCCCAATCCTGCCCCGTCTCAGCCACCAGAACAGGCTTCTGAAGACGCAGCTCGGCCCCACCAGCCCCTGCAGGACCCTCTCCATGGATCCCGTTGCCTGGGAGGAGCCCTTACTCCCACCTGCTTCTCCCTTTCCCTCTCCCCAACCAGACCCAGGCCCCATGCCCAGACCTTGGTCGGCCCCACCCACCTGCAGAAGGACGAGGACGTCATCAAAGAGCAGCGCCCGCTCTGCCCGCAGCGGGGTGACTGTCACCGGGATGTCCTGGCTGTCTTGCAAGAGGCGGCGAGCAGGGGTGCAGAGGGCATCCTGGCGAGGGGGGCAGGGCTTGGGCACCCATCCTGGATGCGCTAGCCACTCCACTGCCTGCCTCCACCCCCTACCTCCCCCACCTGCTGGAGGCCCCCAGGACACATGGACACTGGTGGACAGTGACGGGCCCGAGGCTTGGGGTCATTCCCGGCCACTCCCAACAGGGCTGCACAATTTCTCTGAAGCATCACTTTGTCCTCTCCAGCTCACCTGGAGCCATGGCCCCACCCAAGCCCCTGTCAACTCTCACCTGACCTCCCTCTGGCAACTCTGGCCCCCTCACCGCCCCCCCCACCTGTTCTCCTGATTCTCTATCCTAGGCCCCAAGCCTAGCACAGGGATTGTGCCCCTGCAGGGACAGTGCGTGCCACGGTGGATAGGGGCATGGGGGTGCAATCGCTTGGTGACATCCCAGGAGAGAGGGTCAGCTCAGCTGGCCATTCTTGCCCAGATCCAGCTCTCGGCCGGGCCCAGGAGGCACTCAGCAAATGGGTGAACATGGCCGACAGAGGGACCTCACAGCCACCTGGTTCAGCCACCAGCCCGCTTCCAAATGGGGAAGCCACCCGCAGGCTCCTGCCCCACGAAGCTCCTTCCCTGACGGCCCTCGGGCCACACCCTCACCCGCAGCCGGCTGCTCAGGGTGTGCCAGAGGGCCTGCGTGGCCTCGGCCTGGTCCAGCGCCTGCTTCATGAAGGACTGGAGGTCCCCAAAGAGGGTGGCCGCGTGCACCACCAGCTCCCGGGCGGGGTGACACTGCAGGGGACAGAGCAGCCAGGCAGGGCCTTTCAGAACCTTCTCTGCCCCCACCACCCCCTCCCCCAGGGCTGCCCGGCTCTGGCCTGTGTCTCAGCCCCAGTGCACCCTTCTCCCCACAGCTCCTGGGGGCGTGGCCGGACGGGTCTCACAGGGAAGCAGGACGTTCCAGGCCGCCCAGCTGGGCCTGGGCCCTGGGCCCTCACACCCAGTGTATGATTCCTCGTCTGCACCCTGGGTCTCTGCCAGCTCCGCCAGGGCAGGGCCAAGAACCTCAGATGAGCCCCGGACAAACACATGTCCCTTCACCCGCCTCAGAACAGGGCCACGTCCCCAAAGCCTGGCCGGTCCTTCTCAAACCAGGGTCCCTGAGTCCCGCAGGTGTCCCGAGCCAGGGCCCTGTGCCTCCCCAGCTCAGCCCCCCACAGGCCGGTGAGGCCCCTGGCCCTGCCACTCACCTCCCCGATGGTGTCCCGCAGGCTCAGCAGGAGGAGCGCGTACTTCTGCACGTGATGGGTGAGCGGCTGGCGCAGGGCCTGGACCAGCGCGGTGCCCATCGAGCCCTTGGGACTCACGCCCCACAGGAGCTGCCGCAGGTCCTTCCGCTGGTCCCGCCAGTACCTGCTGAGAGAGGAGGCCCCGCACCGCCGTCACTCCTCCCTCCCACACCCACCACCATCGCCTCCCTGCCCTGGCGAACCCCCGGCTCCCAGCACCTGTCCCAGCCGCCAACCCTCGCCCCCAGCCGGTACAGGCAGAGCCTGAGTGGCCCCTGGAGATGTGGTGGCAACAGCTCAGCGTTTCAGTGGGTGGTGAGCACCACCATCACCCAGGCAGGCGTGTCCCCTCCCTGCCCCAGGGGCGCCCCTGGCTCTGGATCCCTGACTGCTCGCTAGGTTTGCCTCCCTCTTCCTGTAGATCAGCGAGGAGCTGTCAGAGCCAGGGGAGCTCAGGCTGAGTCATGGGCCTGACGCTCACTGCTCTGGGGCAGAGCTTCCCCCCACTTCCTTCCCAGGTGCCCCACCGGAGGCCACCGCAGCACCAGCTCACCTCCTCTGCTTCGCTGCCTTCTGAAAGGCCTGCGCCACCACACAGCTCGTGTAGGACTCGATGTACCTGCAGGCAGGACAGGGTACCCTGCAGGCCCGGCCCCTGCCCTTCGGGGATCCCCAGATCCCACCCTGAGTGGCTGCAGCCCTGAGGGACAGTGGCCTGGCTCTAGGCACAGGCGACCTGGGGCCCTGACCATTCTAACTCACCAATGCTTCCTTCCCGTGGAGCCCCCGGCTCAGGCCTGGGGTATCTGAGTCTGCACCAGACTAGTGCCTGAGCCCACGAAGGCCAACCCTGTGAGCCTACTCCACTGAGCCCCACCCCAGGCTCAACCCAACCCCTTGCCCCAGCCCTGACCCAGGTAGGCATGGTGGCCCTGACACCCGTCCTCGCTGTCTTACTCCATGTGGACCTGCAGGACATGATCGGCTTCCCGCAGCAGCAGCAGGGACTCGAGGCCGATGGCATCCGGGTGGCCCAGCCGCTCCCGCAGTGCACGCAGGCTCCTCTCCGTCACCTCCCACAGCTGCTGGGCGCACCCGTGCAGTTGCTGCAGGAGCCGCAGGCACTCTCTGCCCTGGGGGTCCGAGGGCTCTGGGGGGCACACCCACACAGTGAGGGGGGACAGGGAGCCCACAGAGGCCCCGGGGTCACCTGAGGGCCAGCGGCACCCCACAGCCCTGGAGCTGCGGCCAGGGTCCTGCATCCCTGGGGACCTGGGAGAGGATGGGGAGCCCATATGCCCCCTTGAGCTCAGCAGGGGACCAGCAGGCTCATCTTGAGGTGTGACCACAAGTACTTCCTCGCCAAACAGGATGGCACCGCTGACCCGGGGCACCGGGTACACTAACACCCCTCGGTCTTCCGTAGGGACTGCAGGTGCGGACACAGCCCCCACAAGGAGGCCCCTGCCCCAGGTCACTTCACAGGGAGATCCAAGTTGGAGGTGACACCTGCTTCATGTCACGCCCTGAGGGACAGCGCGATGAGAACGCAGCCTGCGCCCTGGAAGGGGTGGCATTTCATCTCTAGGCACAGCTGGGTCTGAACTAGAATGAGGATCACGGTCTGGCCCCTCAGGGTCCCTGTAAGAAGCAGCCAGCTGCTGGGGGCCAGGACCCCAGTCCCCTCAAGCTGCAGCTCAGAGGCCCAGCCAGGTGAAACTCCTGCCCCCAGGACAGTTCCTGTGTCCCCACCTCCCCCGGGAGAACGGGACGCACCGGCCGTGAGCAGCGGCTGGAGAACTCGGTCGCTGATCCGGGCGAGGGTGGCCGAGAAGACTTCCTCCAGCTGCAGCAGGGCCGCCTCCTGGGGGCTGCACATGCCCGTGTGTGGGCTCAGGGCCTGCAAATGGGGCACCGAGTAGAGCAAGACAGCGCCGGGCCACAGGGTCCGTGCCGGCCCCCTCGGGCGTGCACCAGGAGCAAGCCGGTGACTCCCCCACATTGGAAAGGAGCGATGAGCCCAGGCCACCTCGAAGAGAAGTTCCCAGTCTGGCCACTGCCCCCTGCCCCCTCTCGACCTGGCCCGGCTGAAGGGAGCCTGAGGAGTGCGAGGCAGGACCCAGAACTGCAAAGGGAGCAGCCCTGGCCTGCCCGCTCCTGGGCTCGAGGGACACTCAGTGGTGCCGACCCAGCCCTCTCTCCCCTGGGTCTGAGAGAAGGATGTGCTGGCAGAGGAGCCGCCCAGCCCTTCCCAAGGCCATGGCTCAGGACTCCCTGCACCCCACAGGCTGGCGAGCAAGGAGGCGTCTGGGGGCCTTGCGGGGTTCTGCTGGAGCCATGGAGGACAGGCAAGAATAAAAAGGCAGAGAGGCCCTGACTGGTTTGGCTCAGTGGATAGAGCGTCGGCCTGCGAACTCAAGGGTCCCAGGTCCGAATCCGGTCAAGGGCATGTACCTTGGTTGTGGGCACATCCCCAGTGGGGGGTGTGCAGGAGGCAGCTGATAGATGTTCCTCTCTCATCGATGTTTCTAACTCTCTATCCCTCTCCCTTCCTCTCTGTAAAAAATCAATAAAATATTAAAAAATAAAAATAAAAAATAAAAAGGCAGAGAGGGCACCGCCCTTCTCGGAAAAAAGAAAAAAAAAAGGCAGAGAGGAGAACCAGGCAGGCAGGTGGGGACCAAGAGAGCAAAGGCTGGTGGGCAGGAGGGCCCAGCCCTGCGGGTGGCCGACAGAGCGCCATGGAGGACCTCAGCGGGGAGTGGTGTCCGTCAGCCCCGGGGAGGTGGACCGGTTGCAGAGGAGATGATGCCAAGCAGTGAGAGGGTGAGGTCAAGGTGGGCGGAGCCAGACACTCCAGGCACCCGCACCTGGCTTACCCTGCCGATGGGTCCTCCTGAAGGACAGGTGGGCTCGAGCCTTTGCACTTCCTGCCCTGGAGTAAGGGACCCTCCAAGCAGGTAGGGTCAGCTGGGAAGGTGGCCTCCTGCCTGAAGGAAGGGGCAGGAAGGGGCCTGGGCTCAAACCCAGCCCAGAGCCAGGCCACAGCCTCCAAGTGGACACAGCCCTCTCTCACCAGACTTGGTGCCTCACCTGGCAAAGGAGGTCATGTGCCCAACTCTGCCTCTCCCTGGCGCTGCCACTCCGAGACTCTGGAGTAGCTGACCTGGGGGGATTGGGGCAGCTGGTGATGGGCAGGCAGACCCCAGGGGAAAGGAGTCTCATCCCTCCCCCTCCAGCCACAAGGAGCCTACAACCCCCAGGACACCGGTGCTGGGGAGAGCAGGGCAGAGCAGGGCGGGTGCCTCAGAATGTGGCCCAGGGCCCAGGCATTCCCGCCCCACCTTTCCTGCTACGGCTTCAGGAGGGCGAGGCCTTGGGAGGGGGAGGCAGGAAGGGGAAGCAGCTGGAGCCAGGCTTCAGGCTTCTCTCTCTGCCTCCTGCAAGCCCGAGGCCCCCCGGGGGGAGGGGCAAGTTGTTCCAGGTCAGCTCAGGCAGGACCAGGAGAGCCAGACAAGGGGTCAGGGGTGCAACCCATACCTCCAGAAACGGGCGGAATGGAAAGGCCCTTTGTGGGGTGATCTCTGCACCCTCAGCTGGCAGGCAGCTGGGGTTTGAGCTGAGAGGTGGACAGTGGCTAATGGAGGAGGAAGGAGAGTGCAACCAGGATGGGAGGTGCGAACTGGGAACCAGATCAGGGCAAGCGGGGACCTGCAGTAAACAACTCCCCACGGGAGGTCTTACCCCCCACACTCACCCGGGGGCCGGCAGCCCCCCCACACACACACCAATGCCACACTCAGGAGAAGAGCTCTCTGCCCCTCTCGCTCTGCCCGGCTCTCTCTGCAGCTGGGAGCTGCTCCCCTACCCTGGAGCTATGGCTACACCCCAGCTGCTCGGACCCTCTGTGGCCCCTGCCCAGCTGGCCATGCCCAGCGTCTCCACAGCCTTGCTCCTCTCTGCGCCTGTCACCTCCTCTATGAAATGGGCTCCAACGAAACATTTACTCCTCCCAAAAGGATCACAGGTGGACGGGAGTGGCTCTGGGTTTGGGGACCTGGTCCGCAGCCTCCCTCACCTCTCAGACCTGCCTGGGGCCCCCAAGGGGACCTCTAACCCTAGGAAACTGAGTCACGCTGTCGGGAGGAAAGGCCAGGAGGTAAGCCTGGCTGGTGAGGCCGGGGTGGGGAAGGCTGCAGTGGGGGCCGGGGGTCTGGTCTGGGGGTCCCCAGGTGCAGGAGCATGGGCTGCATCCTGGAGGTGATGAGGAGAGTGTCAGGGCAGGGGTGAGGCCAGGCATGAGTAAGTGTGCGTGTGTGTTTGCAGGGCAGGAGGAGGTGTGAGCTTTAACAAGCAAGGGACCCAGCAGGAGTCCTCCCCTCTCTGACCAGCCCACTCTCTCTGGTCAAGGGCATGGCCCTCGCTTTCCATCCAAGTGTAAGGTTCCTTGGTGGTGGGCCGCACGTGCTGTGCGTATGGGGAAACTGAGGCCCACGAAGGAACAGGAGGGCCCAGATGCACTCTATGAAGAGCGCATACAGGAGTCAGACCCGGGCTCACCTGAGCCAAGTGGTTCTGAGCAGCCTGGCGGCTCACCTGAGCCAAGTGATTCCGAGAAGCCGGGCGACTCACCTGAGGACGCACAGCAAGTTCCGGGCGGGGCCCAGCCTCCTACCTCCCCAGGCAGCCTTCATGCTCAGAAGGGGTGGAGTGAGCGCGGAACTGGCCGGTCCCGGCATGCCCAGGTGAGTCAGCTGCCTGTCCCTGTGTCAGTCTACCCAGCAGCTAGACCTGCTCCCTTCCCTGCATTGCTGGCCTCGGTCCCCGCTGGGTCCCTCTCGGGCAGGGTCACCGAGGCCTCCCCTGCCCTCTCTGGCCCCTCAGCCACACCCTGTCATGGCACCCGTTCTGGTATTTCCCGGTCTGGACAGGCAAGGAAGTGCTGCTGGCTGTGGAGGAGTGTTCCTGGGCCGCCCGGCGCCCCCCGGATCAACCTGCCAGCCCCGTGGGCGGACAGCTGGCGAGGAGCAGCCCATGGGAGCGGGCACTGGCCCTCACAGCCGACCCGCAGTCTCCACCCCGCCTCGCCCCCAGCATCCCGGCTCTGCCCCCACCTCCCCGGTCGGTCCCAAGCTTCTTGTCCTAGAGGCTCCTCCGCTCTCAGCCCGGACACAAACTTCGTAACCTCCCTTCCTCTCCCTGCCGGGCACACACAGTCACTGGATCTTCCCAAACATGGGCTCCCGGGCCAACCACCAGGCGCCAGCCCGCGCGGTTCTCACTGCGGGCAACACCCGGCGGCGTCACCTCCTCCAGGCGGCCTCTCGGGCGAGCGGAGGCCCCGGCCCAGCCCCCGGGCCATGCGCTCTCGGCCGGCCCGGCGCCGGGAGGGAGGGAGGGGGAGGGGACAGTTCCCGAGCCGTCGGGCGGCCACGGGGCAGGGAGGTCGAAGCGGGGTGGGACCTTCGGACAAACTCGGGCCGCAGGTACCCAGAGGCCGGAGAGGGACGGCGACACGGCGACCCGAGGGGGCGCGGAGGCGAAGGTCCCACCTGGAGCGAGGAGGGCGCGGAGCAGGGGAGCCCGCCACAGGGGAGCGCGCACGCCCACCCACCCTTACCTGTGCGCGCGGGCCCGCGCCGGTGAGCCGGAGCGCAGATTCTCGCCGCGGCCGCACGCCTTCCCGCACGCCCCTCCGCGCCTCGCCACGCCCCTAGCCCCGCCCCTCGGTTTCTAGCCACGCCCCTTATCCCCGCCCTCCGTGCATCGCCACGCCCCTCCGTGCCACGCCCCTGATCCCCGCCCTCCGCGCCTCGCCACGCCCCTAGCCCCGCCCCTCCCCGTCCGCCACGCCCCCTCGCCACGTTGCATCGGCTCCCCGCCACGCCTGATTATCCCCGCCCTTGGCACCTCGCCACATTCAGCCTCTCCTCATCACATCGCAGCCTGAGGCCAAGACTCCATGGCAGTGCCTGGCGAGGCTGCTCGTAGCGACGCAGGCTGCCACTGACCCTGGGGGCTGGCTCTGCTTAGAAACCGCTGCCGGCAGAGGGACTCTTGTGCAGACACTCTGGCAGTGCAGGTCGGTGACTTCGGGCACTGATGCCTCCTGGTGAGCGATAGAATGGGGACTTCAAAGAGGAGTTGGGGGGCAACTTAACCTGCGCGCTTCTAGCTCAGACTTCTCTCGACACGGCTCTTCTTTGTTTCCAGATACCAGATTTCTGGATCGATTCTCCGGGCTTTCTGGAGTAACTCTT